ACTACCAGTTTAGTTGTTTTTAAACTTGGAAAACGAGAACTAATTAACAGGATTAAGGGTACATCCAAAAAGTAGTCCTAAAAATTCAAACGAATCCGAAATATAATAATATATCGTCAAATAACAGTTAGTTACATGAGGCATGTCGGTTTTCAGGCAAGATCAAATTGTTACAGAAGTTACAATTTTCACTGTAGAAAATTACTCAGCAGGGTTAATATTTTATAAGATATGAATGTAAATGGATTTCGTAGGAAACATGTCAATATCACACTTGGCGCACTTTATGAAGACAGCGTAGCAACATACAGCTGATCGTGGAGAATATATACATGCGAAGTTGGCGGCTTTTAGAAGCTTCAACCTCATATTTCTCAGGAATATCTGAGGCTTTAATAACGGTGTAGGACGAAGTCACTCGTGCCATATCTATTTTCGGTGGGGTATCTCCAGGGTGCTGAAAAAGAAAGGACGAAAAGCAGAGCACACTAAAATTCTTAAATTGAAACGATACTACTGAGAGAACTTTATGTATATGAATAAGAATATAGCATTTAGGCTGCCTAAACAAACAAGGAAAGTCATGCGAAACTTACCGAGTACTGGAGTAATTAGGTCGTCAGATATGTCTCAACCATAAGGGGTTACCTTATTTTTGAGTTTTCTTCTAGGGAAACTGAAGCTGACATATCAGTTGTTGGTTCCTGGAATCACGACCGACAGGAGCCGTTCCCTCAGAACTGATGACTACCTAGTGCTTCCAAATTTTGAAATCTTTGAAGTCGGCTGAGCCAGGGATATGATGTATCGTAAAGTAAATTATCCTAACTAGTATAAATAAACTGGTCCGCACTTGGCTCGCCTCACAGACTGAAGAGAGGAGAAATGAATTCCGAAAACAGTTTTTGATGCACTATAATTGTGTTTGTACAATGTATCACTTTTTTCGTACATATCTGAAAACTTGACTCTAAATTCGGTACAGCACACATTAAAATGCATGCATCATTTTTTATCTTCAGTACTGATGCAACCATGACTATTGGAGCATATGCTGGTTCAGTCCGGGATTGTGCTGATTATCACATTGCATTCCATGCTACTAGTACCCTAGAACATCCAAATTATTCCCAAATTCCTTTCACTGGTGCACGGTCCTGAAAAGGTTGACATTTTTATTCACTACTTTAACCCTCAAAAGGAGCCGATCGATCAATCATCCAGACTGCTGGCCCATGGTCATTTCCTAGTGACTTACATTAGTCCAATCTACAATCTCGAAATATTGAGTGCGTTCGATCCTATTTTCTGGGCAACATGAATTCCGTGGTAGCTGGTCGAGATCATTGTTATACAGGGAGCAGGGTAGAGACTGGGAAATATAATGAATCCTCTTCACTGAAGCAAACTTTAAAATACTCAGCAATTAGACTATAACATTTTCCATATTATTTTAGTGAACGGGAACACCAGTGAAGACAACCAAATTACAGAATCTCTCAGTAAAACTTGAGAACCATACAGTAAATGCCTAATTTGCGAAATGTTCATCGACTATCTCAGACTTTTTTGTTCCCTCGTTTCAATACTAATCACGTTCTGTTCTCGTTCTCTTATCATCGATCTTCTCAACCTTCTGCCACCAGGCATTCCACTTTCGATTGGTGATACATACAACTTATATCTGTTGACATCAGTGGCACATACCATAGTATCCAGCCACATTTAGACGATTACTTTACGTAGTTGCTTCTGCTTAACGTGTTCCGATTGGTGTTCGGTTAACTTATAGTTTGGTAGCTTTAGTATTTACATAAATTGACCATTCCTGTGTCAACCAGTCAGATGTTTTTTAAGCGCCCAAAGTACTCGACGTTCATTAAGTCCTACTGATTTGTTTGGTAGAGAACGTTTTCCGAACACTGACTGTCAATAAATTCTCATAACCATTTGTTGAGACAGAACGAATAACTGGAGTGAAGAAAACCTTAAATGAAACAATCTGAATAAACACTGAGACAAGAATAACAGATATTGACATAAGGAATCGGGCAGAATGAAGTCTTCGGTTTCTTACTTCTGCAGTTCAGACTACAACTCAGTATTTTTCAGCTTCGTTAAAATTAATTACTTACGCTTGTTACTCTCGATGGAGCATAGGCTGCATACCAGCATTCTCCAATCCACTCTGTCCTGGGCCTTCTTTTCTAGTTCTATCCGACTTTCGTTCTTTCTTTTCATGTCTGTCTCCATTTCTCGGCGTATTGTGTTCTTTGGTCCTCCTCTTTCCCTTTGGCCTTCGGGACCCCATGTGAAGGCTTGCCTTGTGACGCCGTTGGATGACTTTCTCAATGTGTGTCCCATCCACTTCCAGATTTCTTCCTCCGTTGGAATCTAGTTTGTTGTCCCTCACAGTAGAGTGTTACTGATAGTGTCTGGTCAGCGTACCCGAAGTATTTTGCGTAGACAACTGTTAATAAACACTTATATCTTCTGGATGATGGATTTCGTAGTTCTCCACGTCTCCGCCACATACAGTAGAACTGTCTTGACGTTTGTATTAAAAATTCCGATCTTGGTGTTGGTTGACAATTGTTTTGAGTTCCAGATGTTCTTCAGTTTTAAATATTCTACTCTTGCCTTACCGATCTTCGCCCTCACATCTGTATTATAAACACCATATTCATCGATGATGCTGCCCGGATATGTAAAGGTTTTCACATTCTCAAAAGCTTCTCCGTCAAGTGTAATTTGATTGGTGCATGCTGTATTGTATCGGAGAGTCTAGCTTTTCCCTTTGTTTGAATTGCGACTTACTGTTGCTGAGGCTACTGCTGCACTGGTCGTTTTCTCCTGCATTTGTTGTTCCGTGTGTGAAGAAGAGCCAGATCATCTGCGAAGTCTAAATCGTCCAGTTGCATCCTAGCTGTCCATTGTATCTCGTGTTTCCCTCTACATGTTGACGTCTTCATGATCCAGCTGATTACCAGGAGAAAGGGTGAGAGTAATCAACCTTGCCTAACACCCGTCTTTACCTCGAATGAGTCGGTGAGTTGTCCTTCATCAACCATTTGCAGTTTGATCCATCATGTGAATTCCGTGTAATATTGATTATCTTCTCAGGCATGCTATAGTGTCGAAGAAGCCTCCATACTGTTATCTTGTACACACTATCGAATGCTTTCTCGTAGTCAATGAAGTTGATGTAGAGTGATGAATTCCATTCGATTGATTGTTCCACAATGATACGTAGAGTTGCGGTTTCGTCTGTGCACGAGCTTTCCTTACGGAATCCAGCCTGTTGATCTCGAAGTTGGGTGTCTACTGAGTCCCTCATTCTGTTTAACAATACCCTGTTGAAGAATTATTTTGGTATTGAGAGAAGAGTAATGCGTCTGTAGTTATCGCACTTGCTGAGATCTCCTTTCTTTTATATGTTGATCAGAAGTCCTTCTTCCCAGTCTGTTGGTACTTGTTCTTCATCCCAAATCTTACTGAAGAGGACGTGGAGTATCTTGGCAGTTGCTGCTACATTTGCTTTCAGTGCCTCTGCTGGAATGTTGTCTGGTCCTGCTGCTTTGTCGCTCTTGATTTATCTGATGGCCATGCTGATCTCTTCGATCGTTGGTGGGTCAACATCAATTGGGAGGTCTGTGAGTGCTGCTTCGATGTTGGGTGGGTTCAGTGGAGCTGATCGATTCAAGAGTTCTTTGAAGTGCTAAATCTTTCACATATTTACGTTTGTCGGTTCTGATGCTCCTCTTCACTTGCTTCTTTGCCTCTGTATATTCGGCTTGTGCCTTGGTATTTTCCGCTCTTGTTCGGCTGATATTGACTTCTGTCTTCTTGTTCTTCCTTTCTTCAATCTTATCCAGTGTATCAACAGTAATCCATTCCTTGTGATGGTGCTTCTTTTGGCCCAGAACCTCCTGACATGTTGAAATAATGAAAAGTGAATGAACCGACTTTTAAGGAGCCGAGATAGGCTCATTTATATCAGATTTTCAGTTGCACTGTTAATCGGGTATTTAAAATGTAGGTAAATTGTTTGTTTACTCTAGCAGTAGGATATTCTAGTAAAGTCCGTCCTGAATCCAGTGATGGGGATTTTCCTCTCAATAATTTTTGTGAACCGTTTTTCTCCGCAGGTGTCTTCGAGAGTAATAATTTTCAGCGATGGTGCGAACCCCATCGGGAAGCTCACAATCAGATTATTAGGCTGTCTCGTCTATTTTCACATGTTTGAACGGAAAGCAACAAGCCGGCTTTAGACCTTGTAAAAACTAAAGTAGTCACTGTGTAATACAATATGAACTATTGATAGGACCTACATACTTCTCTACCTGGAATGTAGTTGATGGAGAAAGACTTATGCGTTTTTATTATGTATGAACTAAAATCAAATGTCTGAAGAGTTAACCTTAAACTAGAAACCAATTTGCCCGGTGATGATGTATAATCGAAATTCGGACTTAATATATTTTCCTAGCTTTTTAAAAGAACTAAAATATTTTAAACGTATTCGGAAATAATTCACTTACTTATCCCCTAAACCTAAGTTCAAATCCTGCGAGCAACACTCAAAAGTACAGGATATACAACCTTAGAGTATAAAAGCAATCCCATAATGACCCAATATTCTGAAATTGCCTGAGTATGTTTGAAACACTCATTTAAGTAAGATTTTGACACACTAATACGAGATGGTATACCTAGAAGCTTAAAGGGAAATTTAGGAAATAGAATCGTGGACAGATGTTCCACCTCTTCTGAAGCAACCAAGCGCCAGAACTTTATTTAGGGACACAAATAAACTTGACGAATTCCGTCAAAAGGAGATTCACCTTCGAAAACTCAGAATATCATCCCACACTAATTTGCAGATGTATTTTTTTATTTTCTCACGTTTCAACGATCTCGGTCTGCACTAGATCGAAGTTTCGGACAAGTGGAGCTTGACGGAAAGCTTGTTATGTGAAGGTTCCTTTTATTCCGTTAACGGTCAATCCAATCGTTTGAACACTTATTTCTCTTAAAACGTCCTTAAGTAAGCTTCAGAACTACAAATAAACGAAATTATTTATTTAAAGCACTCTAAATGAAGAATATCAATCTCTTCTTTCATTATTACTAGGACAAGAAGTATTGTGTCACATGTCTTTTGTTTACATTCGCTGTCCCAGTCGATTTTGACAACAGTGGTAATCTAAATGTGCAATGCGTCTTCCGTTAGTTATTTCAGTAATAGTTGGTGTAGTAGTTTCATCTGCACTTAATATAAAAGAAATTGATGTAGATGGAAACTATTATGTACAATGGGGAGATAACTTGGCCCTCACCTGTGCACAGGATACTCCACCCTTCGGAAAAGCTAGCATTGATTGGTTTCTCCCTTCACAACCACACAGACCTGTTGGATATGGAAATAAAGCTCATGTTTACCGACAAGATCAGTTAGATTCCATGGTATTGGTTTTAGTTGTCCGATCTGTGAACACAGATGATTCCGGAACGTATGTCTATTTTGCATATTGTTTATTTAACACTTAAAGCAACAATAGTTTAAAAAACTAAACTAAAACCCTAATGCCTTTAAATAGTAAAACATTAGCGATTGTTCTGTAGCTTTTCGCTCTGAATATGATAAGAAGTATTGGGAAGACAACAACAATTCAATAATATGATAGGCATAGGAGCCTGAGTGTATATTTTCTCTCTGTAAGGGAACTCGCTCTTCATTATCGAAAGATCAAGGGTGCTATATTAATCACTGCAACCTATACTGCTGTGAAGAGCTGACTTCTATTTGGAGATTTTAACAGACGATATTCAATTAATGTGCTGTGATAGAGGTTTGTATTTGGTTATTAGTTTCCGGACATAACCAACTTGTTCTAGGCTTTTGAAATTTATAATAATATCCTCCTCAATTGTCAGCTATTAATATGAAAGGAGATACGTAGGTCGTTCGTGAATAATTCACTGTTTACTTGAATTCCATGTTGCGAACGAGATATGATTTGCCTACAACATTTATATTAAAACAATGAGAATAAACCACTAGACACATAAAACTTTGGGAGCTTCTCGTCTGTATTGTGCTGTTAGTTTAAAGTCAAAGTTGACATCGGCCCGTACCTTATTCGTTTAAACAAGAGGTATGAGCACACCATTATTAATTTTGATTTGAAACAAGATTGTAGATCACTCATTTAGATGATCTATGTTGAATGATCAGAGGCCTACTCGAGTTAGACAGGAATGGTGTGACCATCAGCTAACTTCGAAGTCACACCTCGTGGTCAGCACCTAAGGTAGTTTATCCGTTCGTTTTATCAAGGTACCACTGTTGCTTTTGAGACCGTATAACGCAAAGGACGTTATTATAAAAGTATATCAGTTAGAGTAAGTACAAGCAAAAGTGTGATCACCACCGCATGGGTTAATCCATGGCTTACGATTAACTGATGCACGTTGATTGTCCTCGATCTTCATGGGGATCTATGAACTGTTCGACATTCAGTGACCCAGCTGCGGGGTGATTAAGCTAGGGATCAGTGAAATTTCACCGGCGCTACAAGATATTTTAATCAGTGTTTACCGTCTGTCTTCGTTCATGGGATTATTTATCCACTACTCGTAAGGTTTTAAAAATTTTATTGGATACATAAATGTATGTAAATTAACTGAGTTGAACGTATTTCTGTAAAAACGAAGTTTTTATTTGACTTTTTTGAGTAATTCATCGAAACAGTTCAGAAATTAATAATAAAATTTGGTTACTAAGTATCTACGGTTTACTAGTTTCCACAAGTACTATGTCATGATTTTTTCGTAAAGTAATTTACAGCTTGTTTTGCTAGTAGTTTCAACAGTTCATGTCCTAATCATGAGCAACATATCAAGTGACTTATGAGAGAGTGTAAACGCTGTTTTTGCATTCGATCTAATGATTTTACCTGCTAAGTAACCATATTTTAATCAACAGTTTAGATCAATCGGGTTTTAAATTACGTTTATTTGTTTCCGAAGTTTTCGCAGAAATAACATCTATCTTTGAAACACATAATTACACTGAAGATTGAACTTAAAAGAGTTGATTTTGTAATTTAATTCTTTTTCTGTGTACGTTCTTACATTTATATACTACTGATTTGTTAAGGACAATGAAGTTCCATACCCACAAGGACAGGTAACTCATTAAATAGAATATATATATATATATAATTCGTGATAAAATAACTTGATATAAATTGTCTTACTTGTACAATCTCGATGGTCTTGTGATTCACAGTTAAGTATCTCGCAAAAAGTAGTTCTTCGTAGATTCACCTATGAAACAATATATATGGTGCGATATTTGCAATCCTAATTTCTGCATTAGACAGTAAAAACCGATTTAGTGTGAACATTTTGACAAAACATGAAAACTGTTTCAAGCTAAAATGTTTCTTTTGTATGTTATACACCGGTGATGAAATGCAATGGCTAGTTTCGTAATATTTTTCTTTTTTCATTATGTAGAACGTCACAAAGTAATGTTTAGTAGTCTTGACAAATATTTTTTTGCTATCTTTCGGCAATCTATCATATGTCCCACAGTTAAAGTTAAATCTAGATTGAGGTCAAAGTGTCGGCTTTTATTATGCTTTGTTCAGTGGGGCTAAACCAGTTTTATCAACTTAGTGCTTTAAAATAACTGACTACTGTTTATAATTCATGATCAGCAACTTTATACTTCCGGCTTATTATCGAAGGTATACTTGCCGTACAGGAAGACAGGAGGGAAATCAGTTTATTGAAATGGGTCGTAAAAGTGTCAATGTCATAGTAAGGAAAAGCATTGTGGCTACAGACTGTCCGAGAGATCAATGGATTCCTGTATCAGGAGAGATTACAAATTGTTGGGGCAATGGTACAGAATGTGGAGTACCTACTGCTACAGTTCGATGTATAATCGAGGCCTTTCCTGCACCTACAATTCACTGGCGTTTCAAAGGAGTTCAGCTAACTACAGGTACGAAATATATCATAACAACTTTTGGGATAACAATTATTAACCCAACAACTGAAGATTCTGGTATATTTACTGTGATTGCCAGACAACCACAACAAACCGCTGTCTTCGATTTGCAAATTTCTGCATTTAGGTACTGTCATATTTTTGCTGGTAAAAGTATGAATAATCACTAAAATGAGTTTTATAATCCTTTCATGTATTATTGTAGTAAAATAGACGCTTTTCATTTTTACCTCAATACTATTTTCCTTTCTAATCCAAAAGATTGAAAAAGAGCTGTTTTCCTGTAGAACGTCTTTGCGGTTTAAAAGCGTTCACAAATTAGCATAATAAATAAAGAGAACAACCAGATAGTATATTATTCAAACAACTAATTCGAAACGAATAACCGTATCTACTAACTGTCATACTCGTTTAATTACAATATATTTATAGGTTACCCAGTAAAACCTAATACTCACCTGTTATGGAAAAGGTTTGGTGATCAGGTTTGCTTTCAGTAAATCAACATCATCGTTTAATGCATTCCGTCTAAAATGACTGAAAAGAGACTTGGGTTTTGAAAAAACGGTAAATTGAATGGTTTACAGTCTGAAGTTTTTCGAAAATAGTTTACAAGACACTTATTCAATAAAATCAGCTACAATAATTATATGAAGCCAAGAGCGTTTTTAAGTGAGACGTATATTTAAAAAATTTTACATAGAAAAATAGGGTTCACACACAAGCCATTTATCTATGATTCTCTACGAACACGAGATGTATGTATTTATGATGATAAGGTTGTGCAACAATAGATGATGGTCCTAATAACTAGCTAATTTTATCACTGGGGCAGATGCAAGATACGCATGTGTACAGTTTCTGATCAACATGATTGTGAATAAGATTAAAACAGACAACAATTTACCGACACAATTACGAGCATTTCACACATTGTGAAACCCAGAGCAGAGATAGCTAGTGTAATTAATTTATAATATTAGATGGTTTCGTATTACTTTTCTCTTAGTAGCCTATCAGATCTTACTTTAACTGGTAACATATTAGCCTGGATAAGAAGGCAGTTTTTGAGACCCATAATTATATTGTAAAAAATCTATAGACGTCATTGAAAGTCGATTAGTTTACCTGAAGACGTTTCCTGAGCCATGATGATGTTTATCTTTTCAGACTTATATCTCATACTTCTACAAGTTAGTTACCAGGTTACTTGTCTTGGGGACAATTAGAACAGGCATCTGTCAGCACGTCCAGCATGGAGAAAGTTCGAACTGTTAAAATCTCCAGCCATTATCTAATCTTTTCTTAGAAAAAATACTTGAACATCTTTTGAAGTAAAATATTCTATTTAGAAATGAAGACTGACTTCACTCTTGTATTTTAGACAATACAAGTATATTTCATTAATCAAATCATGCAAATACTCTCGTTTTTTCAAAACTATTATTAGCCGTCCACGTATAACTTCAGGTCCATCAATTGTTAGAACACACAACAATATTTTTGTATCTGGCAGAGAAGCATATCTTCAGTGTTTAGCGTCTGGTCAGCCCCCACCTACTATCCATTGGTATCATGAACGAGACCCGCAAACAGAATTACAAAAAACAAATCCGAAAAAGTTTTCAGTGAACACAAATTTTCGTGTTGGTTTACTGTGGATTTCAGAAGTATCTTATCCTGAGGTAAATTGATTCTGTTTATTTGATATTACCATCATTTGAAACTTAAAAAAATAACTTATGAGGTCTCATACAAAATGTGAAACTGTACTGACCATGATATAAAATACCCTATTTTAAACTTCAAAATGAGGTAAAGCAACTCTAGATAGACTAATGAGTACTATGCTTATCAATACGATGTAGAAGTAGTTGACTTAAAACATTGACATGGGATTTTCCTGTCAGATGACTTGACGGGTGACATTTTATTTTCAAAGTTTACGGTATTTTGAAAACAAAGCTCAAGTGGTGATGAAGCTGGAGGGTCTCTTTCAAGTAGCTTGACATCATTCCCTAAGGACTTGAAGTTAGTTTGATTGTTTAAAAAGTGTTTCGAATTATTTACTTTAGTTTGGCTATCAAAATCATACATGTGTGAGAAAATCAAGCCAATAATTCTTTTTGTTATTAGTTTCAATATTTTAGGTCGAACAAATGAGTCTGTAAGTGTCGCAAATGTTGTTTTTCCGATCTTTTAACGGCGAACGTTGTAAAGCTTAGAATATGATGCACATAAACTACGTCTTTAAGTTTTTCCAATTCTTGGTTATGATATTTTAAAAAAGTTGTCGAATTTGTTAAAATTCTTCACTTTAGATTACGTTTGAGAGAAATAATTAATGTAACTCATATATTAAACATCAACAACATTGCATAGAAATATAATTTTTATTTGCATTATATATATATATATATATATATATATATATATATATATATATATATATATATATATACAATTCACTAAAGATGATCACAATAATCATCACGTTTCCTCATACCACTTAGGATTCAGGCAGCTATATATGCCGGGCTATTATTCCAGTTCCTGCAACGTATTCTGGTTCCACTTTAGTGACAATAACTGAAGCCCAGATACCTATCGAGGTTACACTTCCTCCCACTTTGATACCGCTCACAACTATGCATAGTTATGTAGAACTGGGTAAGTATTTCTGTCCCATAGCTTCGATACAGAAAATATTTTTCATTTGTATACTTTACACAAATAAGGCTGATAATTAGTTAAAAATATTCATTAAGATATTATTTTTAAGCTTGGATTGTTTACGGCAGTAGAAAGTAGGGCAAACAAGATACAAAGATTTTACTGAAACTGAAGTTAATTTACAAAAATGAGTTGAAAATGAAATTATAGAATACCTGCCGAACATAACAACATTTAGATGTGTTTCTGGTTTTGTTGTGTTTTTTGAGTTCGGTATTTTGGTCGCAAAGCTTTTGTTGTTGTCCTGGATAATAAAGTCGCCTCTGATTACGTTACCCAGAAAGCTTCACAGTTAAATCATCAATTTTGAAAAATTCAACACAACCAAAAGCACTCAAGTGAGCTACAAATCCTTTCAGTTATTTAAACAGATATGTGAAAGCAAAATGCATACATACAATACGTTTAGGCTTCTTAAATAAGCTATGTGTGCTCGACATAAGACCAGCCACTACAACATAATCAATCAAGCTAGATACAAATGTGTGATTAATGTTCACTTTCTGATTGGATTGGCCTTTCAAAGTCATTTTTTATTGGACTCATTTCTACTTCATGCTGTTAAAAATCTAATATTCACTTAAACCTACTTTGAAGTTGGATTTGATATCATAGTGATCAATCTTATCTTCACGTATTCAGAAATAACCTTGTCTTAATTCTGAGCTTGACTATTTCCGTCAAGTCTCTTCTAGTCTAAAACCTATAAAGCGCTTTTTCTTCCAAAAATATTAGGAGGTACTGCTACCGTGCAATGCCGAGTACGTGCTACAACGCCACTAGAATTATATTTCAAGCGTTTTAATTCAAGCACACCTTACATAAGCGGTGTCCAACCTGGTGATAAACGTATTCGCGTGTGGAGAGAAGATGATATGAATGATCCATTGAATCATGACTTATTTTTAACAATTGAAAATACGACGTGAGTATTTACTTAGAAAAAAAAGTTAATTTTCGCATTTATTCACAAAATATTTCATTAATACTTGTATGAATTTTTATTTTCTGCACTTTTGATGTTCATTCTCTTTTGAACAAATGCTTTGATGTTAAAAACATGTACAGTGGATTATTATTTGACTAGTGAGACCTGTAGGTTATTTTCAAGGTCAAAGTTGTCGCTTCAGTTTTCTATCAGTGAACCTGTTTATATATAGTGTGATCCATATATGAGATATCCTTTTTATGTACTTAAGGAAGCCCATATAGCCTTATAGTAACGGAACAAGATAGTCTGTAGTGTTTGAAGAGGTCATCATTGTTAACTGATTCATCTTTCATCGTAGAATTTTCCTGTTTACTTTTTCCTGTAGTATTTTCTCAAAAGGTTTCTTCAAAAACTTGTTTGTGTATGACAGTATGTAAGATAATTTTGTAATATAAACCTTAAGACCAAATAAATGTTCCCTTTTAGCCAAGAGTATCAGAAATACAGTTTCCAATGACTTTTTAGCAATTGTCTACAATATGAATTCAGAATAAATGTAGATAGCTATTATCTATCGATATTTACAAATATCTATCCTAATATATTATTTTTAAGTAGTTAATTTCCTTTTCTTTGAATAATTCACATTAGACAGTTTCGATTGAAATAATTAGCTGGTTTTTCACCTAATTCTCTATGATATGTGAAATTAATCTAATTGGATATGCACCATGATTAATAATCATTTAATGCTGTGAGTATTAAAATATGGTGGTAAACTCTGCATGAAGCCATGTAAACTCAACAGTTAACTGATATATTAGGTATAAATATCGATCATGAATAAAATATTTATTGTTTCCTCTGAAACAGTCGTGAAACTTTTAAGAGTATTATTGTACTGCATTGTTAAGAAATGAATGCTTTCAAGTCAGTATATGTAAATGTTACGTCCTCTACTTAATTACTGCAGAATACGGTATACAACTATCGGCGCTAAAAGGTGTAGAACACCGCAGTTGTAAATCAAAAGACGGAAGAAGCAAGGGGAACGATTATTGGTTATGAGTCAAAAATGTACAGAAAAACAGTGGTATTTATAGTTTTTAGTATAGGCTATAACATCATTATAATTCAGCCAGTCCGCAAGTAGGAAATTTATGCAATCGTTCAATCATAGCATGCGACGTCGATATTCTAGAAGGTTCTATCGGGTTCTGATTGAATGGAATCTCTTTGGCTCCTTTAGAGTCTCTGGAGGCTTCTTCGTGCTTTTTGAAGGCGTCCCAACAGTAAACTTAACTGATTAATTTGAATTTATCCAGTATGTCAGTTTTCAAATCTAAGCGATCCATGCTCTTATAATCTATACTTTGAATTTTCTTATTTATGTTATTACAACTCGGTTACTCCTTATAATCGTTTTTGTTAGCACGAATCTCTCTACATACCAAAACTATTTCAGATTTTTCGGTTACATTCTATATGATCTAGTTTCAGTTTTTACTTTTCTAAATTTTAACCCCATTAGTGATGTAACCTAGAGTATTCATATTTTCTTAATTAGTATAGACGATACATGGAACTATAGTTGTCATGCAGTTAATCAAGGTAATTCTTCCTGGTGGAATACAACAGTTCAAGTGATACAAACTCCCCAAATCTTGTTACATTCAACATTAAATACAGATAGTGAACTAAGTGGATTAAGATTTGGTTGGCGGTATCAAGGAACCAATTTAACTTGTATATCACGTGGAATGCCACATCCAACATGGTAAGTTTGTTTTACTGGTGATTAATGAGAGAAGTCGTTCAATTTTAGTCTTTGCGAATGAATTATTTGGAATATTATTCAAAAAGCCATTTTATTCTAATAACTTGGTGTTGTTTTCTTTATAGACAATGCGAAATAATAGAGTATTTTAAGCATCACGTCTTACTTCAAAGATGTGTACTGTCAGCATTTTTATTTTTTAAATCTCCATTCAGTAGTTTAGAGTATTGTGTTTATTATAATAACTGGAAATTTTGAGTTTCATTCCATGTGGAATTATTAGCGGACAATTCTGAAACTTCCAGAATTCCTGGAAAATGCTTTACACATATTAGTTTGTGAAGAAATCTACTTTTAAAGCATGCATTCTAGCAAACACTTGTACAAATTGATTTTTCTATTATTTCGTGCTTTTACTGAAAAATTTTAATGATCACCACCTTCCAATCTTGAGATAATTGACCATTCACTATGACTCATCAATCAGAAGTGATGACCCTACTAAAAAGAATGCTTAGAAAGAGCAATTGAATGGTAGGGATTAAATAGACTGGGGGATCCAAACCTATTCAGGGATAAAAATGAGATTATATTATTTTCTAATTAAAATAGAAAATATATGACAAGAATATCCATTAAACTAGGTAATATAATATGAAGTTATTAAGTAAAATGCGGAAATTCATACAAATACGATAAAAAGATAACTACTGATACTACTTATTAGTATACTAAATAGTTTCCACTGTAGAAAACTGATCTAATCAGCGTTTGTGAATAATTTGATTTTACCATACTTTTTATTCTGAAGCTGATCAGGTTAATTTATGTAATAAAAGTTGAGTTCAACTATTGTTAATTTAAAATGTTACAAATAATTATAAAATGTTTCTCAAATTGACTGTTGAAATTCAATAGCCTAGTATTTAAAGCTTAACCATTGAAATATTGTCTAATGGTGTCAGTGGGAGCATCAACACGCGTGAATTGGTAAAGATTTACATATGACCATTCGATAAACGGTAATCACTTTTTCAGAGTATATATATGTATGAACATTTTGGATAGTGATCGTAAGAACTAGTAATATAATCGTCTATCTTTATATTTTATTGTCAAGTTGGCCCAGTACACTTTTTTTATGTCAGAACATTATACACATAATATTTCATTGTTTGAACTTATGTTGGAGTTTATTGGTTTCGTTTCATTTTAAAATTTAATGATTGATGTGAAATGAAAATTTAGTTAGTAATTCTGTTGTTTTGTCCAGTTAACTTGATTTTAAATAAATAATATTCGTAAATCTATGTTACCCTTTAGTTGTGATCACTGCTTAATTTTATAAAAGGATTGTCACTTTATAATCTAGGTAAGATAACTGGGCAACTGCAATAGTTGCATTCATATATAGAGAATACAATATATCAAACTACAGAATTGTCTCGTAATTCTCAATATTTCGTTATAATTACTAATCAGTGTTTTTTTTTCCAATTTAGGACTTGGTATCGTCGTGGTGAACAAATATTAAATGGACAAAATTTGACATTTGTAATAATTACCTATGATTATTGGGATCATAGTCAATCATGGCTTCAAATTACACCTTGTTTATACACGGAACATTTCATATATGATGATTATGTATGCAAGGCGACAAATATCAAAGGGACAAATGAGAGTAGGGTTAGCTTTCGACGGGCTTCTGTTCCTGGACAACCGAGAGTAAGTTTTACTTAGTTTAATTATTCATAAATTATACTAAATAATTGTTAGTGGGAAATAAACAGGATTAAGGCATGTTATGTGCATGATCCTGACAGCGAACGCTGATCGGCTAATTCTAAACCATTCAGCTCTGGTAGATTATTGGAGAAGCATCTAGAAGTTTCTTATGCATATACTATAAATATATGAACGTTTTTCTAACCATTGATTGCTGTTCACCTACCCTTGTTATTTTGAATACGATTTCGTTCCTGTTCAACGTGTTCTGATTTCGGGGTCTTGTCGCGTGTCATTGTATAAGAATACTAAGCAGTAGGAGTAGCTGGGTCGTTTATTAGCGAAGCATTAATAACAATAATATTACTTTGCTTCTTCTCTCGCTGTGTGGATATGGTGTATGACATCTTGAATTAATTTATATCTTTGTGTCCAGTTTCATGTTGTTTGTGACAAATTAACTAACTTTATGATTCGAATCACTGCTTGTATAAAACAAATATTGTAATAATTTTACCCAAAACTGTTTCGAACTCAAGAATTTAATTGATGTACAAAAAATTTCTATTTTTCAACCGTTATCTGAAATCAAGTTCAAACAGTTCTTTCAGTTTGGAATGTCACTTTGTTGCCATATTAATAAAAATTCAGTCAATCGATGTAAAGTAGTAGTTTTTCCTTTCTATTAGGATTGTGTGAAAATATTTCACAACCTTCAACTTATAATTTAGGCTTTTTATCTTGACTGTATTTCAATTATCCGGGATTTTCTTAGCCGAAACTGAAGAATAATATAATGTCAGAGGAGTGCTGAACAATTACTTCGTTCTACACTGGGATTCTGTACTGCTCATGGTTATGACATCACACTGAGTCTAACCTAAGGCCCTCAGCTTTCATGATGAACGTTTCACCTTTAGAATACTAGTTTGAAGTCAAGTGGTCCACATGTCAAGGAGATCAAATTCCGTAATGTCATATCACTTTTTGAAAAAGATTTAATTAGATTTTGATATCCTATGTGCTTTGAAAGTAAAATCAATATAAATCCTGCTTTGATAAATAGATGTGTTAATAAATAAACAAAGTTTGATTCAAAGACTCTTTTTTATTGATTTAGTTAGAAAGCTATTCAGTTACACAATCAACGATATTTTTAAATGTCAGTCCTCCTATTAACACTGGAGGTATGGCGACTTTAGCATACGAATTAACTTATAGAGCTTTCGGTGGGCCTGAAGGATGGTATGGCCCTGTTACATATCCATTAGATGGGTCAAGAAGTTCTGGTAAGCCAAAGTTCGAATTGACTGGTTTGCTTGGTGATACTAATTATCAGCTAAAGTTATTGGCACGTAGCATTGTTGGATGTGGTATACCGTACAGTTTTTCAACCACCACTGGTCCTAGTACTCGTCCAGGTCCTGTAGAGGTATGTCGTACAAACAATTCAGTGTTATGTATTTGATTACTTTGCATTTTACACCGTTTCCGAATTCGTTTTTAAGGCTGATTTTAAAGTTTTTCTCCTAGAATTTACATGAATAAATTAAATATAAATTCGGTACTAATAAAGTCTTATCCATGTTTCATTGCAATCATGTACCGATCAGTGTCAGATCACCACTGAAGACCCGAAAGCAGTGGACGGCCGTTCCGTTCTAGAATGAGGCTCCACTGAAGTGTACATCCACGACCTTCAGTCTCGCGCGCGAACGCCTAGCATCTATACCACCGAGTCGTCAACTGACAGTATTAATGTCTAGCTTTAACCAGTCCACGATGTTGCACGACTATCTTCCATTGTTTTTAGTAGGTTATTGCTTTACATCCGACATATTCGAACTCCACTGGTCATGGCTTTCCACTATAACTCCACCAACTATCTATCAAAGCTAGTTACTAATGAGCAAATGATAATTTTCAGTATGTGGCTGTGTAGATTGTTGAATGTCATAGTGATTGCTTGATAATCTCAATAAAAACCCAACAATCTCCGCAATCCCATACGGAGATTTTGTATATCAGCTGTGAACGAAATATCTATGATCAAGAACAGGTTCTGTTAAATCTGTCGAAGTGTTTAACCATACGACTTAGATACGCGTGAAATCGAGGTTGGGAACAATGATCTATCTAACGTGCTGTCCTATTATTACAAAATATATGTAAATCAGCTACAAAAGTCAACTCGCAAAACACGTCGTTCTGTTAATGTGTCTGTATCTATGGAAAAGAAAAGGATTCCTATGATAATTGCTTGAAGGTTACTTCCAACATCCTATAGCGTAAACGACAGTTGTCAGCTGTATCTAAAGTTAAATAGGGGTATCAACAATTGAACAGAGACTAATATAAAAAAGTATGAATGATGTCACGTTTTAATCATGACTTAGAAAATCCACAAATTTGATAGTAACTGCTACAAAAGTTGGAGTGTAACTACAGCAATAAATAAAACAATTGTTGCTAGTTTATGTAAAAATTCAAGAATACTACAAGACTCCAACTATACGTTATATTTTTTACTCAAAAGTTGTTGAAAATGAAATGGGTTACTGGATAATACTAAGTAGCATAGATTATCACTCAAGTGAAAATGGAGTAATCATATAGAATGAAAACGAACTTAATGAGTCTCAAGACACTTGCCATAGTGATTGACATAAATGATAGCTTTTTGTCCATGTTTCTTATTTACAGGTTGATTGTCCTAGCGCATATTTTACTATGTTTAATACCTAGGTGAGTCAATTAAGATGTGAAAATCGGGTCACATCTTTCCATAATATTTAAGTTGAACAGTTGAGAAGATCTGTATATATGAGGAAGGAAATGGATATTCTAGCTAAAAAAAAAATACATGTTAATCTGAGTAACTAGTTAAAAGGATTTTCATCGCTATCAATAAGAAGTGCAGCAGTATACACGTATCTAAAAATAACCGAAATTGTACCAATATTCGGAGTGAAAGAGAACTTAAATTTTATGAGCCACTATTAAAATAGAACGCCCATTTGTTAGAAGTTATGCATAGGAATTGGTACTTTGTAAGTATCTTATCATTAAAACTTGAAATATCCCTAGACGATACTTATAGTTCTAAACAACTTAGCGTATACCATTAATATCTTATTAACAAGTACTAAGAATGATAACAAGTGGAGTTTATCGGTCTTTTGTTTTTTGAACTGGTGTTCCGTATTCAAAAAGTTCAAAGAATCATGTAGATAAATGGGTAGATGTAAAGATGAGGTTGTTTACTTATTTTTATTTCTTGCAACATAAAATGTTGCTATTATCATAGACATCGTTTGAGGCAAATTAGTTTAAAACTAGATGGACGTTTTATAAATTACTTAATATGATAAAGAGAATTGACTAAATCGGGTTCCTACGAAACTATTCTAATAACCATATTTTTTGGAAGGAATCAAATCCATAGTTTAATAAATAACAAACTCAAATAGTTTATTAAAGATTAATTGTCTGTTTTTAAACTATTATTGAGTCAAGAGTATTTAATTTTAATAGTAGTACATATTACCTTATGTTTAATGAATATGAAACGCCGTTTACTCTTTTATATAGTGGTAAATCATATCTTGCGTTTTATGTATACATTGTTATCTAAATTTATGTTGACAAAAAATGGAGTGTTTTATTATGTTTACCATTTTTTCTACTTATATATATTAATTACTCAGGTTATTCACTCAGCAACCGGAATTTATCCGTATGGACATGTGGTAAATTGGATTCCACCAATGAGTGGTGGCTCTCCTATTCTAGGCTATAGAATTCGTGTTCGATCTGTCGAGAATGACTTGAATTTAATTAGTATGGTAGAAAATATTTCACCGTCTAGCTCGTGGAAAGTATATACACCATCATTCAATAATCCTTATATGGATTATTATCATTTGGCTCCATTGAAACCAGATCAAACATATCAAGTATGTGTAACAGTTATGTGAATCGATGTAAATCAATTGCGAGAAATTACATCTCTAGTTATAAAATCAATAATTAATATTTAATGCAACGACTATAGGGAAATGTTGGTGTTGTGTTTTATGTTAACTAATTTAACGTTTTACTGATTTTCATTAGTGCCTACTTAAATCTGATTTTCAGTAGGCAAATATTTCATCGTAAACATCTTGCTCATGTGGGTGCTTCAAAAACTCCTTTTAACATGGTCAGTGAAAAGGATTCGGTTTTTGTAAGCGTTTATTATTATTATTTTGTTTGTCATGGAGAACAAGATAAACATCAAGAGTATGGATGATAGTAAATTTTCCACAACACAGTTGACTATTTTGTAGTTGACTGTTAATAAGAATTATTCGTTCATGGATCCATACCAAATAGTATTGATCCATGTCTATTAGGTGTAATAATTACAAAAGTTCAGTCACCATTCGTATTAATTACCTGGATAAGTAATAGGTCATCATGGAACGAATTTCCTCAAATTAACACGGGAAAGCTTGAGGTATAGTAAGATGTTTATTAGCTAAGGATTCTCACATTAGTTTGTCGAAAACAAGCCACTGTCTTGTTTCGAAGTTGGAAGTCAGGAACTCGCTTCTATATTCTCAGCTTGTTGATGACCTTTGAGCGACGCCTTAGTAATCTTGAGAATGTCAACCTACTTACCAGGGCTAAATGAAGGTTATAAAGCAGTTTGAAGAATAAGGATTATGATTTACAGTTGATGGTTATGGTTAGAATTTAGATTTATGGTTTTTGTCACGAACTGACATCATCTTTGGTGCCAAAACTCTATTTAGACCAGTGGGTGAATGTATTTCGCGCCAAAGTCCAAGACCTATTATCCTAAGTCTGATTGGTTCGTCCATGAATTGTAGTCTCGCTGTATCCATCCTCTATCTTCCTCTCAGTCTTTAATCCCAGTATTCCCTCATACTCTCCGCGCTTTCTTTTCAAAACATTTTCCCAATGTGTAATAATAATAATAGTTATTATTAATACTGACAATCCACTATTTCCAACTCTTTTTTTATTCATCGTGTTACTTTCATCTTGTAGTTCTAACGTGGTATGTCAACTTAGGGGAACGCGCATCTATACCAGGTTCTATGCTTGGGATCTCTGTCTGTCTGAAGATTTAGTTTGGAATTTTTAATATCGTTTTAAGGAGAGAAGTCAATTAACTAAGTTTGTGTTTACACTTCTTTTGTCCCTTTTTCTATATAGCTCATCTTAATAAGACACTTTATGTTAAAAATAACTAACGATAGATTCTTCACAAAAAAACATTTATTTAAAATACTAATAATGCTCTGTACATTTCTTGAAGACCATACATAATCAAAGCTGAGATGGTGGAGAAGATTTGTAGCTCAGGTGGATGATGTTGATAGAGTTTTGTTTTCAGGGCTGGATGGTTTGGTCACGACTTTTGTACACATTCCAAAAGTCGATCAGTAGACCAACTGGTTTATGTAATATTATTCCTATTTTTTTCTTTTCTAATTAATATTTTCCAACTACAATAAAAAATTTTGTTCTGAAAATAAGATTATCATAGAATATTGTCGTTATTCTTACTTTTCCTTAAACATTTGCCCATTTAATTTAGTTTAATTTTCATTAACTCTCCACTATCTATAAATTGATCTGAATTGACCTAATTATTGAACTAGTTCAAGTGAAATTCATTAGTCAATAGAAAATGTTCTGCATGAGTTCCTTTCAAAATCAATAAGAAATTCATTGAGAAGCTGTAAAATTTCCATGAAATTGATTTTTGGTTATCCTTTTATTCAAATTGTATAAAAAATATGTCTATTACTTGCCAATGTTTACGTGACCATTAATATAAGCACTGATCAATGGTCAGCAATAATTAGCAGTCCATCTGAAGAAGTCCTCGTAAAAAACACTAAAAACGGTAATCCGTCATTTTACTAGAGGAAACAATTTGAAAAGCATAGTACGGTCAAAAGTACTGAAAAAATGAGAAATATAACTAGTCATTAATTACTAACAGAGTTCTGCACAAAGTAGACTATTTATTGAGAATTATACTTTCATTGTGTTCACCTGTCGGCATCAGTTAAAGATAAGTTACTTGAAATTATTGATTGGGATTTGGTATTTACTGGTAATGATTTATGATACAGCAACACTCGGGATTATCTATCGATGGATTTAAAAGCAGTACTAGTGAGGAAAATGTTGTTCTTCAGAATAAAACACGAAATGTTATATGCATGTATTTCTAGTCACCACAAGCGATCATTTTCAACTAGCATAGAGTCATCATGACCCTCAAGGTTGAGTAAGACAGGCATATTGCGTTTTCTTAGATTTGTAGTGACTGTTTAGCTGATAATATCATTTAACAAAAATGGACTTCAAACACAACTGCAATTTAATTAACTTATTGTGGATTAACACTATAAAGTGTTAATTCTTTTATAATTTTATTCATTTTAGTTAATTGTAGAGGCTTATAATCGCCATGGTTACTCTTTAGATGGTGTTGATATTGAACAATATGGTTATTTAAATCGCACACCGACATCAACACCTCAGCTTCAACAAATATTTCCCGGTGAAAGATTAAATTATCAAAATTCTGATAAATTGTCAAATTCTGTTAATTCGTTAATGAATTTCAAACAGTCTGATCTTGTTCCCATATGGTATTTATTTGCTACACCATCAGCTGATGAATTAGTTCCTCCATCACTTATGTTTAATGATAGTTCATCTACTCATAAATCTTTTCAAATTGTTTTATTCCTAGGAATTCATACTTTTATTGCATATATGTTCTATTAAGCGATAAACCATTTGTCATACATAGTCCCCCTTGTTTATCAGTAATTTTTATTCAGCATTTTGTATTCAGATTAAGCGTTTTTTTAATCCTTTTGTAATGACTTTATTTATGACAGTTTTTGCATACAAGTAACTAATTTTGGCATTTACAATTTCATTTACGCTTAATATGTTATCTTCATTATTATTTTTTTAAAAAAAAGGATCTTTACTGTATGTATTATATTCAGTACTTTTCTATTATGTTAATCATCGATTGGAATAAATTTCTACTGATCAAAATATTTAATTGAATCTTAATAGTTATCATCACAATTTTTCATTCTTTACAATCGTTTACTGAACAGATGGTTTCTTATTTGATGGTGTGAATCAATAGTTTGCGTGATTTCCTTACAAGTTCTAATATTAATTATCATCATTATTATTTTCACCTCATTTTCTTTGTCTTTTTTTAATATTTTCGTAATTTATAATTTTCGTCAACGTTATTATGTAGTTCTATTCAATTTGTATGTATTTGAAATTAGTTAATATCACGAGCAAATTTTGGCCAGACAATAGTTGAATAATAAGGAGCACTAAAGAAACTGCTGACTATGTACTACTCTATGATTTGGGATAAGTATCACTTATAGAGGAGAATATTCTGAATTAAATAAAAGCAGTACTGGGTCTTTAATTTGGTTACCTAAAAGAATCCATTCGCTGTTATATCCAAATGTGCTGGGTTCAATCCTTGGGGTGAGGATAGTCCCTTTCTAGATCGAAAAAGCTGTTCATCGTGTCTTTTATAATGGTTGTTAGTTTTGCAAACTATTTGTTAAGTTCAATATTCTCCAGATCTCTACGGCGTTTATTTTGTTCAGAGTGATTTAGTAAGATTCTAGGTCAAAAAATTATCATCTGGAACTGAAAAACTACCGACTAGGATTCCTAAGGTTAAACACCCACTGCGAGATATGGAAATCATGAGCTCACTCCTCAGTGGGGTAATGGATCTGTTGTGCTGACGAGCTTCATTTTAGGGCTGAATAACTATCTAACGCTCCCCAGTTGTCTAACTAAGTTGACATTTCTATATAAACTATGAAACTCAATAATCTCCACAACACAGCTTAAACTGATACAAATAGAATTAGTTAGTCAGCCAGTCATAAACTAGCATAAATGAGGGGTAAATATAGATCAACTCAATTAATCAATTTATATTTATCTGCAGGAGAGGAAGTTTGCGACTTAATAAACTGCATCGAAATAATAAGAGATGCCAAGAGTAGTAACTAAACATGATAAAATTTGAAAAGTACATGATGAGTCATGTAGGAGATTTAAATAATACTGAAAATTAAGATTTAGACACAATATGTTCGTTTCAACAGATTTCAAGCTGTGTAACTAAAGTCATATATTCCATGTAAGTTGTACATAATGAGGAGTCATCAATAAGTTGTCGTAACTTATTTTGCCCTTAATGGATACTTCAAAAACGTTGAAATGTACCAATAGCCATGCCAATGGGAAAAACTGAACATTATTCTTCATGTGAATCTTCCGTTAAATCCAGTCGATTCTGTTTATCATAATAGATGAATGAGTTGTTCTTGAATACAAGAGATAGATCACTAAGGTAGGGTATTTATGGAGATTGTAGATTTTTCAGTTTGAATCACGGATTGATCTCAGCTAGACCATTACCGGAAGCCTAGAAGCACTGGATGGCTGTCTCGTCCTAGTATGGGACTCCCAAACGGTCCTCATAAGCAACCCTGCAAAAGGAAATCGAACCCAGGACCCCCAGTCTCGAGCGTAAACGCTTAACTACGTAGATGAGTACCTCTGAAGAGGCCGGTGCTATGACAAAACGGCTTTCCAAGTTTTCAATGATAGTATATCTGATATCAGTTAATGATTTAAGCTATGGGTAAAATGTATGGTTAGTAGTTGGACAACTGTGAATCAATTATGATGTCTACAGACTTATTAAAGTAGAATTGTATAAATAAAATATATTTCCCATATATTGTTGAAGATATTACCATGTTGATATTTTCTGATGAGTCAAGAACAATATTTCCTTTCAGATGTTTACTATTTTTGTTAAATAATCACTTGAAATGTTTAATGCCTTGAAAATTATGTGCTTATTTTTCTTATACAAAAATAGTTCACTTATTAATTCAATACTTTCTCATTTTTCACCATCTCAAATATATAAAGTTGGTGTATTCTGAAAGTTTCTTGGTACTTAAATTATAAATTTATTAGCCTGGATTGCTTTCTTCACTTTCTAGCATTTCACAACTGTTTTACATTAGCTTACAGGATACACATAATTAATATAACATTGAATAGAATCCATAAGCTTTATGTCTCTAAGAGAGCACATTCTCTTTAGATCATTTGAATCAGAATCATATTATTAACACACGTAATTTCAATTAGTTGGAAATATCGATCGAATTGAAGACAATATTCACTTGGTATTGTTTGTTTGAATCTTCCCATTGATGTTTAGACTGTAATTGATCAGTCTCTTATTGGCATATGTGCATACTGTACATATTGCCTCGATATAGCCTTAATTCACAAGCATGGTAAGCAAAGATGGATAGTGGTTAGCAGTGGAATCCAGGACGCGCGTTCCGTTCTACTTGTGACTCGTCAGCTGGATGTACCTGCATCTCAGAATTGATGTTCCCTCTGGGATTCGAACCCAGTACCTTTCGCTTATAATGCTTGTGAATTAAGGCTATATCGAGGCAATACGTACAGTATGCACATATGCCAATAAGAGACTGATCAATTGCAGTCCTAAACATCAATGGGAAGATTCAGACAAACTATACCAAGTGAATTCAAATTTCACCTCATTGCATAAGCAAGTGGCCATCAGGATTCAGTAGCTGAGTGGATAACACGATGGTGTTGGAAGCGAAAGGTACTGGGTTCAAGTCCCAGAATGAACATCAACTCTGAGATGCAGGTACATCCAGCTGATGAGTCCCAAATAAGACGAAACGCGCGTCCTGCATCCCATTGCTAGCCACTGTCCATCTTTGCTGATGAAGACAATAGTTTGCCCACCTTGAAGGTAAGTATTAGAAAAAAATATAAGAATTTGAGGCACCTTTGAAAAATTATTTTAGTATTAAGTATGATAAAACTTTTGATTATTGTGATCATTGGACATTGGTTAATTTAGACGCTATATTCCCATGAGTAAAGCTTATCCAAATAGTAATAATATCTTAATTTGTTACATGGATTAGAATGTTATACCTTTATTTATTAGTGAACTTTTCTAGCTTTATCCTATTTTATTATTATCAGGTTAATTTTTATTATATTATCCTGTTTTAGATACTACGAATAAAAATGGTTAATTAACAAATTCAGTACAATTGAAACTTTGACTGAAAAATTATGCCTAAATTGTAAGGATGAAGAAAAGTATTTTATGTTAATTTACCCCAGATTTTAACAATAAATATGGGTCGGTTAGGGTGAGAAAAACAATAGTGTAACTACAATTCGATCAAATATTTCATGGAATACTCTATATTGTGTAAAATATTATTAGTATGACATAATAAGATGGGTTGAATGCGAAGTAAATGAATCGTGTATTGGGGAAATTAATAATGATGTTTAACCAGTAGTAATAATAATAATAAAGATAACAATAATGATAATAATACAAAGATTTGTGAATGAAAATAACAGAGACAATCACATTTGACTACGAAAGATCGTAAGTACCAGAGTCAAATTAGGTCATTCAATAGATAAAATTACTATTGATTAATTAGCCTTAAATTAACTGAATGAGAAAAAAACGTGTCTGTTGACATTGAATTTAATTTTTGAAACTTTTTTTTCATTTCACACAACTTGTAATGTAGCCTGGTGATTTTTAAAATGCATTTTGATGCTTTATTTATCTATATTTAGAGATGCTGAAAAAAGACAAGTTGTTAAAATGAAAATAAACATTTATCCATATATAGATACACAACCATTATGATGTAGTCGAATAACCCTGTCTTTTACACGTATGAAATCAAATGTTTCTAAAAGATTATTTTAGCATAGAATAATTATATTTAAAATGACTAGTCATAGTTTTAATATAGGATAATACGACTTTCAACTGCTCTACGACATATTGGACATGCAGTGACCTGATCACCACACCATTGACATGTGGCATGACCACACATAAAAACCAAATTACGTGAACGATCCAGACATATAGGACATCGAATCTGAAATATGCAGCCGGTATAAACAAATATGATTAGTAACGTGTATTATAGTAATAACAATTTTTAAAATCATTATTGTCCATATTCAATCTCTGGTAAAAGAAAAGCTAGACGTTTACGACAAAAAGTTATGCTAATTATGTAAACTTACACACTGGTGTACTATTGTTAGTTTGTCAGTGAATTTTGGTTGTTTCGAGTATCACGCACTTAAAAAGTACAGTTCAGCGGAATCAAGACAGGATTTAAGTCTAGGTACTTTGACATTGATTATGATTCATTGTAAGCACTCCAGTTCTATAGAAGGTCAATAGTTAACTAAATATCATCCACCTGATCTACAAATCTTCTCCACCGTCTCAGTAAATTAAATATTATAGCCAATAAGATTTAAATTTGGTAACCGAATAATCAAACTTGATCAATCAAGTCGACTTGAATCTGTTAATTTTAACATTATTTAATAAATACATTAAATATTTACAATAACGGAACAAAGCTCCTAGAATATAACGTCTTTCCAACGTTCTCTTGTTCTTGATAGTCATACGTTAGTAAGTGAAGTAAACTACTTTCTCTGGTTATCTGACATTCTACAAGTATGAGCGTACACGCGAGAGATTAAAAGCGCTAGTGTAGATCACGACAACAATGGGCGAGAGATTTCAAAGTCTCTACGTGGTACGTTTACATAGCCTTCGATTATCCATCTGCATCTTGAGGTGGGTTCTGCAATCCTAACTATCTTTTCGTTTGGTCTTCGAGTGTTCTGCCTACGCTGTTGTTTTGATGCACTGGTCTTCTTCTCTCCGTATGACGACTGAGACGGCCTTGAGGCTGCGTTCCGCTATATGTTACTTAGAAGCAACCTTTTGAGTAGTATTCACTACACTGGGTTTTAGTCCATCCTGGGAGATCGTCAATGCGCACTTTTGAGGAGTATCATACTAGGACGAAACGGCTGTCAATTACTTCTAGTATTTTAGTGTTGGTTTAACATCGATCGGTTCATGATCTCAATGAAACACAAATATAATAGTCATAGAGAATAGTACAAAAAGTCAGGTTACTTATCGCCTCATGATTGGTAGTTATTAATAATAAATCTGTCATATAATACGAGTAATAAGTATTTTAAAACTTACCTGTTCACGCATCACTTGAAGTTCATGTTTTAACCTGTCTAATTCACGTTCACATAAATGCGTTTTTAGACCCCTCGGTCGTCCAATAACTTCAGCTCGACTTCCACCTTGACGAAGCTGATTATTTGGTGTTATTATATGCTGTAATTATACAAGTAAGTAATAGAACTGTAAGAAGATTAATTAATTACATTATATGTAAAATAACTATGCTTGAAATATTTCAATAGTTGCAAGTTTTTTTTGTGTATGTAGTTACGTGTATGTAACATACTTGCATAAAAAAGTCATTTACTTGTCAATCTGCATATCTTGACGTATATAAACATAACATACCTGTCTAGTAGATGTATTCACTAATCCACTAAAATTTTGATGATCTATCGGAGACAGACTGCGTGGGGGTTTAGCTGATGAGAAAAGAAGAAAATGTTAAGAATTTAAATCAAATTCTACATCACAGATGTCCACAATAATATATATATATATATATATATATATATTAATTATCAGAGGGGGTTTTGTGGAGATTTAGTATTTTTCATATTTTTAAAGCATGAGTCAATTGAAGCTAGACCACCATGGAAAACCTGGAAACACTGGACGGCCGTTTCGTCCTATTATGGGACTCCTGGATGCGCACTGCTGAGGAGTCCCATAATAGGACGAAACGGCCGTCCAGTGTTTCCAGGTTTTCCATGGTGGTCTAGCTTCAATTGACTCATGCTTTAAAAAAAAAATATATATATATATATATATATATTCTGTGATGTCAAATACCCCTAGGACTTGTACATGACTTTATTGTTCTTGCAAAACAGCTTAATCTTAACTTTAAATTTTGATATGTTTCTTCTAACAAGTTTGGGAAAGAGAATCATAGATTGAAGTGCCATTAAATTAAATGTGAAATTTTTTGAGATAAATAATGTTTATGGTGAATTAAGTAGGAAGAAAATCTATCAGGCATTAAAGTCTTAAAATACTTTCAGAATTGTTGTTGATCTTGAGTTGGTAAGATTTTTTATTACAGAGTCTTTAATTTTATGAATAAGATTTACTTACTAACAGTATTATACAACCAATTTCTGCTACATAGCAATCTCAAAATCGCAGTTAAATTGTTTTCTAAATCATTATAACGGATATTTTGTTATCAAACATACGCTGATCTAGGAAAATGATCCGTGAAATTTAGTCTGAGCCTTTAGTGAAAGTTGAGTTTACTGGATCTAAATGATAATCAGTTAGTCTGGTGTCCTTCATCTTCGTTTCCAGTCTAATTCATTGACCTGAATCTATCTTTTCTACCAAAGAGTTCCTTCTGAATGTGAATGGGTGACTTATTTTACCACATAAAGTTGTATATACATATATAATTTTGTACTCGAATAGAATGAAAATTTAGAACTCTATACTTTTTTGTTGACATCATGATATTGGTTTCTCTTTAATAACTTTCTAGGTACACTTGCTTTTCAACTGTGGAAACTGACCTTAACAGTGAGGTCTATAAATATTTATATTAAAGGAAGGAGAAAGATTTTTCAACTACATTCTGTTACCAAAAACTAATCAATAAGAGTCTTTGTGTTTCCACTGTTTTGATGTCAGATATAAGATGGGATGTTTGACCTTTGATGAGTCATTACACCAAAATTAGTTAAGATGTTGTCCTGCTGTGTTTATGTTTCCAGTTATTACTAATCTGGTGTTCGTTATGTTTATATGAATCATATGTACACACAAACAATCTAGTAGGAAAGATGATTACCAGTATGAAATATTTCGTTTCCCTTTCAAATCATTTATGGTGCAGAACACTCTCGAAATTGTACATCTGCTTTTCTCAAAGTTTAGTAAACGTTGACCTTAGGGTAATAATTTCTAGTGTATTTGTGTAAAATACT